AAACTTACTCTGCTTCTAATGGTTTCACCTGAAGGTAGTTTCTTACCCAAGCTACAAACTTCACTTTTACACAAGTGATACATTATGGAAGTACAGTGTAAACTTACTCTGCTTCTAATGGTTTCACCTGAAGGTAGTTTCTTACCCAAGCTACAAACTTCACTTTTACACAAGTGATACATTATAGAAGTACAGTGTAAACTTAATCTGCTTCTAATGGTTTCAAGTGAAGATAGTTTCTTACCCAAACTACAAACTTCACTTTTACACAAGTGATACATTATGGAAGTACAGTGTAAACTTACTCTGCTTCTAATGGTTTCACCTGAAGGTAGTTTCTTACCCAAGCTACAAACTTCACTTTTACACAAGTGATACATTATGGAAGTACAGTGTAAACTTACTCTGCTTCTAATGGTTTCACCTGAAGGTAGTTTCTTACTCAAACTACAAACTTCACTTTTCCACAAGTGATACATTATGGAAATACAGTGTAAACTTACTTTGCTTCTAATGGATTCACCTGAAGGTAGTTTCTTACTCAAGCTACAAACTTCAATTTTACACAAGTGATACATTATGGAAGTACAATGTAAACTTATTCAGCTTCTAATGGTTTCACCTGAATGTAGTTTCTTACCCAAGCTACAAACTTCACTTTTACACAAGTGATACATTATGGATGTACAGTGTAAACTTACTCTGCTTCTAATGGTTTCACCTGAAGGTAGTTTCTTACCCAAGCTACAAACTTCACTTTTACACAAGTGATACATTATGGAAGTACAGTGTAAACTTACTCTACTTCTAATGGTTTCATCTAAGGTAGTTTCTTACTCAAGCTACAAACTTCACTTTTACACAAGTGATACATTATGGAAGTACAGTGTAAACTTACTCTACTTCTAATGGTTTCATCTAAAGGTAGTTTCTTACTCAAGATACAAACTTCACTTTTACACAAGTGATACATTATGGAAGTACAGTGTAAACTTACTCTGCTTCTAATGGTTTCATCTAATGGTAGTTTCTTACCCAAACTACAAACTTCACTTTTACATAAGTGATACATTATGCAAGTACAGTGTAAACTTACTCTGCTTCTAATGGTTTCATCTAATGGTAGTTTCTTACCCAAACTACAAACTTCACTTTTACATAAGTGATACATTATGCAAGTACAGTGTAAACTTACTCTGCTTCTAATGGTTTCATCTAATGGTAGTTTC